ACATCTTTTCTAGAATTTTTCATATATGTATATAAATTCTAAAATATTCTAAGATTTTTACATTTTTGCAAAAAAACTTTTAAAATTTGAAAAAGTTTAAGATATTTTATTAGAAATCTAATCTTTTCCTTTACACAGCCAGCCCCAAATAACTTTCAACTGATCTTGACCTTGATTTTGACCCTCAAGGAGATTAAGATCATTGACCTTTTCCTCCGTTCATTATTCATTAAAAAGTTATGAACAAAACAATTTTTATTAATAGTAAACAATTTTTAAACACAAAAGATACATATTTCAGCATATTTTCCCTCGATAGGGGGAGGTGGAGATGAATCTTACGTCGCGTGGAAAGTTGTGCGCTGCTTAGCAGGAGGAGACGTGGAATAAAACTCTCTTCGCGTAGAAAGTCGAGCGCCCTTTGGCAAGGGGAGAAGTGGGATAAAACTCGCTTTGTGTGGAAAGTTGTGCGCTTCTGGCAGGGGAGAGATGGGATGGAACTCGCTTTGCGTTCATCGAGATTTACCCCATGCTGAAATATGTACCCTTGTTTCTAAAAAATTACGTTTTATTTATAAATCTAGTTTTGTTAATAACTTGTATAATAACTTTTTTTTTAATAAACAACGAAAGGTAATAGGAAAGGTCAATGACCTTGACCTCCATGGGGGTCAAAGTCAGTTGGAGGTCATTTGGAATTGACTGTGTAAAGGGAAAGTTTTACCAGAAATCTTAATAAATTTTAAATATAAAAAAATAATTACAAATATTGCAATATAAGAATTTTTTTGCCAGGACTATGCAAACCAATCATCTCTTCTTTTATTATATTGTCTTTTATTATATTGTTGTTAGAGAAAGCTCACTCTCCTGTATCAATAGTAATACTTTTTTACGTTCTGAAATAGATTGGAAAAACATATTTCTTAATTATGTTGGAAAAACATATTTTGATCTTAACAAAAAAGAGTTGATCGATATTTGCATCGATCACTCTTCCAAAAAAAATGTTATTTGCTTCTGTCTTTTACAGTTATCGCAGATTTATTATGTCAATTTTTAGGATAGGAGTACGAGTTTTCGCCGAGGTTGTTATCTAACTGTTAGTCGAGAGGGAGCGATTAATTACTGGTCATTAGATCTTAACTATGAGCGTACTGTGCAGTCCAAGAATCGTTAGTACTTCTTAACTCCTCTCTCATCTTCAGCTAACACTTTTGTCGGTACCTTTTTTGCAGCGTTCTTAAAAGTACAAACTACTATTATAACTGATATGATCGTGCTACCGGATGTTCAGATAGTGTGTACGAGTTCAACAGAATGCGATTTGAGATTTTACGACGTCGCGGCAAAAAAATTTGATCTTCGCATACTGGTCAGTGATTAACCCAAATTTCATAGAATTTTATCATTCATCATCTATCCACTGTTAATTGTAATTAATAATAAATGATATTTCTAGATATCCAGTTTGGAAAATGCAGTTGTTTGCATGCACTATTACTTTAGTAGAAATATGAACGAAAATTCTTATATCGTCTTAGGTGATACGAGTGGGTCTATTATAACCATGGCCTTTAATCCTACGGATAGAGGACCTTTCAAGCAATATACTGCAAGTGACTCGATCATTTTCCGTTACGACAATGTCATTAAAGTAAGTAAAACCTGTTGGACGTCACTCAGGATCATGATTTTGACAATATATATCAAGGTCAAGGTCATCGGAGAAGCCTCCTCTAAAGTGAATAATTATTCTATAAAATTATTGCACTAATTTCAAAGTAGGTTCAAATTTGATTACGTCTTATTCCAATATAAATTAAAGGTTTGCTTCATAGATGTAGTTGAAGGCTTTGCTGAAAATTACTTTGCTAAAAGATTACTATAATTAGGGGGAGATACAAGGATTAGATGTCATAGAATTAAAAAATATACATACAAACTGGACGAGCCAGGTAGCTTATTATGGAAGCTTACGTGCATTTGTGTCGAGTAGCCAATGCTCTGATTGTTCTTTGTGCGTTTTCGATATGAGTGGGACAAAGATGCAATATAAATTTCAAGTTCGCATGGGAATATCCTGTTTCACGCTCTGCGATGGTATCCTTTCGCTTTGTAATCGCAGATACGGAGATTTTGATGTAAATCAGATCCGATTTTAAAACAATGATTTTTTCAGAAACTCGTATACTGGTAACAGGTGGACCAGACTGTGTGATTCGCGTTTGGAATCCGTTTAACCCCAGGAAAGCAAATGCTATTTTGTCGGGGCACCGATCGACTATCTGCGCGCTTGTCATAACTAACACCGGCAATCGCATTTTTTCCTTGTCAAAAGATAGATGCATAAAAGTATGGGACGTTTCAGCTCTTAGCTGCATTCAGGTATAGAAAAATTACAATTCTTAGATACAATAGTCTCCTTTCTGTTAAACATTTTAATTTTTTTTATTATTTAATAAATCATATTTTTCTTTTAAATAATAAAAGATACGTATACATTTCGTAAACAGACATACAACAAATTACCTCGTAAACTGAGTGAATACACTCCGATGACTATAGTGTTCAACACGCTGACCTGTACGATGATTATTGCCAGCATGATGATAGCTGTTCTCGTTTGCGAGCACGTAATTAACGAGGAAACCTCGGACGGCTATACGCACACTAAAGGTGTCAGTTGTGTCCTCTACAATCAGCTCTTCCGTGTGGTAACTTCCTCTTTTATTCGAAAACCATTAATAAAATCATTAATAAAAATTGAATTATTTAGTAAAACAGTTGCGCAATTCAATAAAATAACATACAATTGCACAGTTTTAATAAATGATATATATTATTTTATCGGGATATAGATTGTTTCTACGGGATTGGATTCATGCATCATCGTATGGGATCCATGGTACGGACGCCGTTTACGTTTGATATCACACGCTCACAGTGTTATACGATTGGGGCAGTATGCCGACATCGAGATCACAGCGGCTTGCTTCGACGATTCGGAGCAATTTTTAGTGACTGGCGCAAGAAATGGTTCAGTGAAAATGTGGAATTACAATACCGGAATCTGTATACGCGATATGATGGTTGATCATCAATGGTACAGCGGATATTAAATAACTGCTTTTTTTTTTTACAAATTATGTGACATTCCATAGTAATAGCGTTTTTCCTAGTGCAACATACATTTAAACAGTATGCTTATTCTTTTTGGCTGATCTTTTGCACAACTTCATCCTTCTTCTTCTTTCCTCCTGAAGAGAAAAGAAGATGAATTGGTGCAAAAGTTGAGCTAAAAAGAACAGGCCTAGTGTACCATGTTTCCGTAGCTACGGTGTAGTGCAAGTTTTATATACAAAGTAGGATTTTGCTGCATTATCTCAAAAGGGTGGTGTAGAGCCAGTGTGACATTTAAAATTAAAAAATGGAAGTCAAGCGGGATTTTAGCACAATAATGAAGTTATATTGTACATCATGGTGTGCACCGCTCTAGTACAGTATAGCGCTTACATGCGGCTGATACAGTGCAAGGCTACACCCAGTGTATCCCAAGGGAAAACGTCATAAATTACAAAAAGTATTGTAACTAGAAAATTATGACATTTTCGAAAAATTATTTATACAATTTTCTTTCCAAAAGTTTTTTGTTGCAGTTATAATTGAAAACAAAGTTACTTGAATTATAAATAAAAATAAATTCGAACACTCGCACGACAATGGCTGCGTTCAGCAAAGAAAGCAGCAAGTAATTGGTTTATACGTTTAGATCTATAAAGAACTGAAAGCAAAAACCAATCGTATTGAAGAATTTTACAACAGTTGCAAAGCTATTTTCTCTGCTGAACGCAGCCAATAAATCAATGCATAATATGAGAATGAATAAAAAACAAACAGAGCTGCGGCAGATTCAGAAGTGGGATTTGGGAGTGCAGGTGACCTTTTGACAAGTGATTAATATAATCGAGAATCTTCTGAAGTTAGTCACGTAGCACTTTTAAACACATAAACATGGCCGCTTGATTATCGAAATATCTCCGTTTTTTGGTGGTATTCACAGTTGATTCTTATATTTAAGATTAAATTTTAAGTACAGTATTTAAGATGTTATGAATCAATTAGAGAGCTGCATTAACATCTTAAGACATTACTTAAAATGATTTAAAATAAGAACGGACTGTGATACCTCCCTACTTTTTGATTTTCTCTCATGTAATCAACTTTTTGACAATAAAATATTATATTCTGTTAACTAACATGGCAATAATATTATAATTTATAATCATTAAAAATATATATTTATATGTTTTTACACTTTGCTAATTTCACACATAGCAGCTTTTAGTATACACTAATCCAATGTAATATAAAATCCAATGTAATATAAGTTTATATGCATACCGCGTTACATGCAATAGTTTTTATGCACTCCAACAAGCACGTTACTATAGTAGAATCATGTTGGAGCATGCGACGTGAATAAATCTAATTCGCTATTAGAGAATATCTTCTAATGTTATTTTTCGTCAATATCATGAGCGATATAATAAATTTTCATTTTATATTATTTTTTTCTGCAGTGAAATAACAAACATCACATGGTACGAAAATCGAATTCTGTGCTGCGGTTGGAATAAACACGTGACAGAATTGTCGATTTTTGAATCTGATATATGCAAAAAGAATTGGACGACCAGTCACACCGATGACATTCTATGCTTGGCTGCGAGATATCCACAATTATTAGCTACCGGATCGTACAACGAAGAATTAATTCTCTGGAATCTTGAAACGAATCAGCCTTTTAGAAAGTATCAAGTGACTGATGTTAATAGAAGGTGATGTCAACTTAATATTTTCATGAACAATAATTGATACAGTAAATGTCAGCAACTTGTAATCGAAGGCTAATTGACTCAATAGGCACACGAGAATGACGAACGCACAGAAAGAATTTAAAAAATTGAATGAGATCAGTGGATCCGTCAATCAGCAGATTAAGTAAATAATAATGCGTTTATGGCTACGAAAGAAAGTTTCTTTTGTCGAAGTGTTTTAAACCGATTCCTCGTGAAACAGAAAATTGACTCCATCTGTCCATCAAGAATCAGCATTGAACATTGTTCGTGTAACTGCGGTACGCGCGATAATCTTTCTAGCAGCGCGAGAAACGAAACCCGATGTTGGCACATTGTTGGTCGCCCTCGACTCCGGTTTGATACAAGTATGGACACATCATCCTGCGGCGGGATTTTTAGGGGCTTTTTCAGTCATACATACTGTCGGTGACTGTGCCACATCCTTAGCTACCGATCCTAAAAATCAATTTTTTGTAACAGGTTTTGGAACTTTCTAAAGATTTGATTACATCCTCAACTTTTCACAGTTAAATATTTTTTCTAATGTCTACAATTTTATTCCTGGAATTTCCCCTTAAAGGTCATAGTATAGGGTATATAAAAGTTTGGCTTCTCTCTAATTACATGCTACCAAATCCACCGAAAATTTGCATGCCACTACTGAGATTAGAATTCCCATTTTTATGGAAAGATAAAATAGACGGAAGAGCGAAGAGAGCAGTACAAAATCAAATGCTGCCACTTCTGCTGTCATCTGTGCGTGGTCATACGCGGGGAATTACTTCTCTTCAAATCATTTCTAGCGCACGAGTGATAGTCAGGTATATATAATTATTATAAAGGTTTTGATACAGGCGCATCACTTTACTAAAAAATTTAAATAAATAATAGCGGTAGCGCAGATCGTACAGTACGTTTGTGGAGTTATGGAGGTCGTTATATATCAACACTGGGTACGTTTAGAGATTGGATCCCGATTCTGCCTACTGTACCCGTGCAAAAATATTTCGAAGATTATAAACTTCCAGCAGACATTAGGAGATTTGCCAGTTCTACCACTTTAAAGGTAAATTTGAAAAAAATTAGAAAAATATATATACGGGAACGCAATGTATACATTTGGGATGATGCACAGGTACTTCATGGTGGTATGAGATTACCGATAGAGATCGAGGAAAAGGAAATCGACATCTCAAAAGAAACTCTCGAAGAAGAGCAATATATGTTGTACGGGAAGGATTTCGATAGTCTTGTGCTCGAGACATATTATGAATCACAGTTGCCTGAAAACATCTATCAGAAATATCTGCGATTAGACAATACTTTGCCATACGTGAGTACATGCATATACAATTATACATACTTCATATGTATTAAAATATATATTTTGTAAGATTCATTATATGTTGTTATATGATAGCGGATTCGGTTAGACGCACTAGTGCATATTAATAATCTGTATAAAATGCAAATATTTCGAGTTACAAAATACAAATTTTACTTAACAACACAATAAAATGTGTTGAGGATTTCATTGTTTAATCCATTTTTATATTTATATTGAACACACATTTTTACGTAAATGTGTACGATGGCTTTAATGTGCACGAGTGCATCCAATTCTTCGCTGTAATGCAATTTCAACTTGTAGAAATTTTACATTTGTAGATACCAATTTATACGTATTTACCAACCTATTCTTTAAAACCTGTCGAGACGCAGAAAATGCTCCTGCTTGAACAGAAAATAGAACCTATGTATGGATTTTTATTTTTATTCGAAATCATTGAAAATATATCATACAGGGTGTCCGTCGAATATTTTGATATATTATATATATATATTTTTAAAATATTTATAATTACAGTAAAAAGGTATACTTAAGAAGAACAATGAAACCACTGCGCTCTTCTGTAATATAAAGAGGCAAAGGCACTTCCACAAAATGAAATCTACCGCAATGCTCTCCATCATTTGAACCTTATAAACTCTTGCAAAATGTCAGTATATATTAAAATAGTACATATTTTACACATTGTATAAATTAAAATGAGAATTAATTTACTCACGTTGGTAAAATTCATATTCATAACAATTATTTTTTTATCTAATTATTTACTAAGTCGATTATTTAATTATATGTAGGCTTTACTTCTTCTTCAGCAAATATACGATAAAATATAAATAAGTAAAAAAAAATTAAATTGTCAAATCATGAAGACCTACTTACATACATCATCATTCTATGAATATTGGGATATAACAACGAACAACGCAACTTCATGTTTGTCGAATTAAAACAATTTGCCTTAAACATTATTACATTTCACATGCATACAATACTATACTTAATGCCTCTGATTATATCCACATGTATTTCTGTGATATTAATTTTTTAAAGGCAATTTTCGTTCGACAAACTCGGGTTCCATCATGGAAATACGCGGTGGCGTTTTCCAGATTGCACTGGATGTACGCTTCAATCGATTTCTATCTATACCATGGAATAATTCAGTCAAATCTGGCGTGCACTTACGAGTATTGAAGAATTTATAAACTATTCTTTCGGGAATGTATTGTTGCATCGCAAGTTGTGCTTTGCGGATGTGCGCTGCAATTAAAAAAGAAACATATATTCATATTCTTTTCTTCTTACTTTAATGATGATTTAAAAAAGATGTAAAAAAAGTACACGTACCCTGCGCCCAATACGGTATCTCATGCTTCGGTTTGCTTTCATCGTCTGATTCATCATCATCAGGTTCACTATCTAACACATAATTCACAGTACCTTGATACTTATTATTAGTCTGTTGTTTGTTCTGCAAAAAAATCAAGTAAGTGATTTATCAGTTTTGAGTGAAAGTAGGATTGAAGTTTTGTAGGATTGAAGAATTTTTTTTCTGTCATAAAAAAATAACTCACTTTAGCTTGGGCCGCAAGTAACTGATTTTTCTGTTTCAAAGCTTCGGCAGCGGCTTGTTGGGCCCTTGCTTCCGCTTCCCTACGTCTTTCAGCTTCTTGCTCTCGACGTCTTTGCTCGGCTAATAGACGTTCCGTTTCCTCTTGTTCTTGTAACCTCTGCAATCTCTGTTGCTCTTCCAATTTGCGACGCTCTTCCTTTTCCTGTATTCGTTGCAATTGGGCAAGACGCTTCTTCTCTGCTTCCTCACGATGCCTTTCTTGATTCAAAAGAGCTAATTTTGCCTTCTCTTCCCTTTCTTTCTCAGCTTTCTGCCGTTTCTCTAATTCTTGCTTCTCTTTAGCTTCTCTTGCTAATTTGTTTTTGAGTTCCTTCTCTTGCCGCTTCCTGTATACAAAGTATATATCGAGATATTGTATCACCTGCATATCTTTTAATTATAGCATTATGAAATTTTTGTATACCTTTTCTTCTCCTCCGTCTGTAATCTCAAAGCTTCGTCTTTCTTTTTCCTCGCGTCTTCCTCGTGTCGTCTCTTTTCCTCTAACTTTTCTACCGAATTGGAAGTTGTAATAGTTTTTGATGGTTGAATGAAAGACTCCACGCCAGTAACAATATTGGTGCGCGAAGCGGTTATAACTTTTGAATACTGAAATAAAAGTATGTAAATAAATAAATATGACAAAATTTTATCTTTCTTAAATTGCACTATAGATCTGTTCCTTTGGCTGAACTTTTGCACCAGTTCATCTTTTTTCCTCTTCTTTCCTCCTGGAGAAAAATGGACGAGAGAACTGGTGCAAAAGTTTAACAAAAAAAAAAATAGGTCTATAGTGTAATTTAAGATAAAATTTTGTATTAATTTTACGTTCGAAAGTTTGTTTGAAGGGGTATAAAGACAATTAAGAGATAGTACAGGCTGCATCAATTTTGTCTTGCTTAAAGGTGTCGTTTTCAACTGTTGCATTTTTAGGTTTGGTTTATCAGTTTGGGTCAGTAATTTATTAATTCGTTCCGGCAGTTGTTCTTTGTTCTGAAAGAGAAAGTTTAATTGTTAATGGGAAATACAGCAATAAAAGAGAATAAAAGAAATTAAAATAATTATAAAGTATAAATAATCACAGATTCTTTTACCTCTTTAAGTTCATCATTGTTTTTTTGTCTTGCTAACGAAATCTTCTTAGCTTTAGCGAGCGACTTACGAGCTAATATTTGCGCAACATTTTTCTCTGTCGTTTTCGTTTCTGTCTGCATTTCCGCAGTGGCCATTGCACGAGTTTTCGTTCTAGTTATTCTGGTTGGAGCACCTGTACAGTCGACAGACTTCGGACTATGCATAACTGCTTGTTCAAATGCTTCAACCCGTTTCTTCACAGATTCTTTTGCATAAGGACTAAATAATGCATTCAATTTATATGTTTTACTTTCTTGTGTAACCGTGGACACATTTGCGTTTTTGAAGGTTTTCACTGGTGTATTAGAGGTTTCATCCTCGCTAGATATTGCTAACACATCTTTTGTCTCTTTTTTATTAGGCTGCTTCCTATTAAGTTGCTTTTTCGGTCTTTTCACTTCAGGTGATGATTCATCGTCTGTAAGCAATTCATTATGGTCATATTGCGCAGGTGTTTTGTATGGTTGCGTATTGTTTGGCAGTGTATTTTTAACATTTTCTGTTTTTTTCAAACTACTACTATTTTTTATGTTTATTGTCTTCTGAATCACCACTGTTTCATTTAATTTTGGTGGTTGATTTGGTAAACGCTCTAATACCACAGTAGCATTCAATCCTTTTTCGGACATATACAGGCTATGCTTTAGAGTTGAATTCATAATTGGAACAGGCCTTCCTACAGCATCTTCATACATAGATGGTTCTTCGATATCATCTATATTGGGCATAATAGCGTCATTGACTTTATTCACTTCCTTATTCTCAGAACTCTTAGAGCTTCTTCTACTAGAGTATTGTAGAATTGGTAATTCAAAGTTATCTTCATTGGCCTCCTTAGCTTTTTCAGTAATTTTTGATTTTTCAATTGTAGGCTGAACAATCTGTTTAGAGTTCTTCCTTGTCACTCTTTTTGTGGTTCCTTTTATACCTGTTATATTTTCTTCGACTTTACTGTACTTAGAAACATTTTCGTTGTTATCTTCATCAGAACTGCTTACATTGTATTTCTTCCTTTTAATGTGGCTTTCTCTCTTTACCTAATATTCATAAAATCATATATTATATAATATTTTGTAACTTAAAATCAACTTGTAATACCATAAGTATATTGAAAACTATCACTACTTACTTTTTTTGCAGAATCATTAAGAATGAAACTTTGTTTCTTGATATTATCCTCTGCTTTTTTGGATGCTCCTCTTTTGGTTCTACCTCCCATTACCTCGTTCTCCTTTCGCTCCTCTTCATTGATAGAATAAAGGGAACTAGTTGGCGAGATGTTTTCCTGTTGAAATACTTCGTCCTCGAGTATGGTTTCGATACGCTGGGTCACCTTTTTTCGCAGCATCTTCGGCGTTTTTGCCACAAGTGGACCGGACGACGGTTGTGACAAATGCGTGAACAGCTCATGCACGTAGGACATATTGTCTGCAAGAACCTCGGCAAGACGATTCGACAGTTCAACACCATGATTGTGAATAAATAACATGTCCTTGCGAATAATATCTCGGATCTCATCCTTCGATCGAGAATTCATGGCGCCGGAGGAGATTCGTTCTTTTATGTCAATCTCCGCGGTAGAGACAAGAGTGTCAGTTTAATTTAATTTTTATCTAGGCAATATGAATCTCAGCAACATTACGACATTGCTGCGGAAGAGCACTAACAGCAACAAAAATAATAATAATAATAGTAATAATAATCACACAACACAAAACTATAAGATTCGGATGAGTTATGTACCAAACGCTAGTTACTCTTTGGCGGGCACATCGATGATCGAAATGAATCAGAATGTCCATCCCCAGCCAGCCACCACAAGGATAACGACTTTTTCTGTTTAATTTAAATCAAGCATTGGCGACATCTGTAACCGCCATCAATTCCATCTACGTCCGTGAATATGTACATACACTGTTGTCGCTACTGTCGCCTAAAGTCCCTAGAAAACAGGCTGCGTTCAACGAACTCAACAGTCGAGTGAGCGTTCGCTGTTATTGATGTATTCTTCTAGATCTAAAATGCTGATTGGATGATCTAAAAGAATACACCAATAATAGCGAGCGCTCACTCAACTGTGAGTCTACTGAACGCAGTCAGAAAGTCCAAAAGCACGATTGCTCTTGAGCGCTCAGTGAGTTCTTGCATTTGATTGGTATATTCCATTAGATCTAAAAATATAGACCAAACAGGTAAAAGAGCTCATTGAGCTCTCAGTGAACGGTCGTGCTTCTGGATGTACCCAGAGTCTGAGAATATAACCATACATACTTGCATAACCGTATAAATGTATACATAAAGAAAATTATTCAATCGCGTTTCTTTTATAAAGACACACGTAAAATGTGATAGGATAATTTTTGTTGTGCATGTTTACGAGTATGTGACTATGCAAGTTTGTGTGAATATATCCTGGGCCCCTATTCTTAAAAAGTATCGCATACAAAAAACTAGGGAAATACTACAGCTAAAAAACTAGGGATATACTGTGCGTTACATATACTATAGCATTTCCCTAGTTTTTCATATGCATCACAGGCCCAGTTTCCATTGAGGATTTAAATAAGATCAGAATATAAGAACCAACCAATTACAGTCGAGTATTCTCTTGTTACAATCGAACGGGGAATGCTCGACTGTAGTTAGTTCTTACATTCCGGTTTAAATTCTGGGTGAAAACTAAGCCACAGACTTTTATTATAACACTAGACTGCTAACTCCCCATTTTTCCTGTTGTCAGATAGTATGTATTACTTGTGGCACATGCGCATTGTAAAACCGCGTATACACAGAACACAATATGTTTTATATATTTTCATATTCTCGAAGAGATTATATATACACACAGAATAAACAAAATTAGGCTTATTCAATGTGGTTTTGCACTAAATAAAGGAACTTGAAATAAATAATGGTACACATGGTTC